AACAGAATAGAAAATGAATGTTAGTTTAATAATAAGAATATTGATAGCAACAGAATAGAAAATGAATGATTTATGTTAATACACATCAAAAACAATTTCAATTACTTATGGTCATAAAGAAATCTTTTTGACTGATAAAATTATCACACAAAAACATGGAAACAAAAGATAATTAAATATTCCAGTATTAAGAAAACAGTTTTACAGGAGTATGAAAGTCAAATTAGAACTTCTAATACAAAAATAAATATATTAATTATTAAACAGAACCAAATATGGCACTTCCTGACCAAAATGTTTAACTGCTAAGAAAAACATTGTTTAATGTTTTTGGTACTGTGATTATACACTTAAGATTGGTATGATACTGAACAGACTTAATGTAGATGAGAATAGTTTAATTTACATATAACATCACATTTCTTAATCAAATTTTAACAAACACGTCATTTAGTTTCACTTTTACAACTGAAGGTTAACATATTCATACATTGAAAATATATTTTCAATAGATACTTAGCTCTCCCTCACAAGTAGCTTTTCTCAACTTATACTGCCCTCTATAAGTGCACATTTTTGCTTGCCACTAGCCTTGATACTCCCACCTACTCTCATGTGTATTCACGTGTGACATCTGCATGCTATCATGCAAATGATCATGCAGCAACACTGCACTAATAGGAGTGTGACACAACTCCTATCATCACTAGCGCCCTCTCTTCCATGCAGCCTGAAATCACTTTGAGATTGGCATTCTAACTGACAGGATGTGTTTTTGCTCATATTTTCACACTGAATTTTTGCTTAGTTGAAGTTTACTGTTTATTATTTGACCTAATATTTTTTTTCAAAAAATTGTTGCCAGATGAAAACTTGCAAGTAAAAGTATTTTAACGTACAGAAAAGTCTGGGTATAATTCTTAAAACTTTTAGTTGACAATATACAAAATAAATTATGTAATAAATATATATTTATATTATTCTTCATTTAATTTCCATTAACTCAAGTAAAAGTTATTGTGTATTGCTGGAGCATTTTTCAATCATTTTCAAAAACATAAATTATGAAGCAATAATAAAAGCACAAAATGTAAGTTGTGAAACAATAATAAAAGCACAAAATATAAATTGTGAATCAATAATAAAAGCACAAAATATAAATTGTGAGGTAATAATAAAAACACAAATTGTAAATTATGAAGTAATAATAAAAGTACAAAATGTAAGTAGTGAAGTTAGGGTAAAAGTACAAAATGTAAGTAGTGAAGTTAGGGTAAAAGTACAAAATGT